TTTTGACCACGCTCGAATACTCTTTTGTCCATACCTTCGCAATGGAGCCAAATGCATTTTAAATACCATGACTTGTGGCCTCTACATCAAACTATCAATGAGCTAATTATCTTTTTTTAAACCTCCGGTTTTTCATCGATGCGTAATTACACACTATCTGGAACCCGGGGGACCGCTGTGTGCACATGTTCACAATGCGAGAAATACTTGTAACGCCCTTGCCTGGTGGTGAGGAGGAAGCGCCCCTAGGTGTTCGTAGTACCGCTGGGCATGCTGGGAGTGGTAGCCGGGGAGAGTCTGAGGGTCAGCACGATGACCAGCAGCTGACCCTACCTGTGTAAATAATGTCCTAGTAGTTCTAGTGCCCTGTGTAGTCTTATAAGAGTATAGCGTGTTGTTAAGTAATTACCACCCTAAATACGTGTACGTGTTCCGTCAGTCTCCTCATGTGCGTGTATAGGTTTTGTGTGGTTGTTAATGAATAAAGCTAGTGTTTGAGCAAAAAATTGTCCCAGGCTGAGACTAATTATGATGTTAGAGACTGAGACCTACTGGCTATCAAACTCGCCCTGGAGGAATAGAGACACTGGTTGGAGGGGACTTTACACCCTTTTACTATTCTTACGGATCATAAAAATCTCTCTTACCTACAGACTGCCAAACGTTTGAACCAACGCCAGGCCCGCTGGTCACTTTTCTTTTCTAGGTTCCATTTTTTCATTACTTATACACCTGGATCCAAGAACATAAAGGCTGACGCCCTATCTAGCCTCCATGATCCTCCTGGCTTTTTGAACCTATTATTCCCCCTGAGAGAATGGTTGCTATTAGATGGGACCTGGAGAACCAAATCAAACATGCACTTCACAATCAAACCATTCCCCCCCAATGTCCTCCAGACAGACTCTTTGTTCCTGATACCATACGCTCCACTGTTCTTCACTGGGGTCATGACTCACTATTTGCAGGTCACCCCGGTGTAAACGTACCTTGGAATTCATATCTAGACATTTCTGGTGGCCTTCTATTCGGACTGATGTTACTGGGTACGTGCAGGCCTGTCCCATCTGTGCCATGTCCAAATCCTCCCGTCTTAAGAAGCCCGGTTTACTCCAACCACTCCCAACCCCTAGAAGACCTTGGTCCCACATCTCAGTGGACTTTCTTACGGATCTTCCTGAGAGTCAAGGCAAAACTACCATTATGGTCGTGGTAGACAGATACTCGAAGTCGGCTCATTTCATTCCTCTACCTGCCCTTCCATCTGCTCAAGACATGGCTGACCTCTTCATTCTTCATGTCTTCAGACTTCAAGGCATTCCTGCGGATATCGTATCAGATCGAGGACCTCAATTCATTTCAAGATTCTGGAGAACTTTTTGCAAATCTCTTGGGACTTCCACATCTCTCACGTCTGGCTACAATGAGCCTGAATCCAATGGACTGACGGAAAGAACCAACCAGGACCTTCTTACTTACCTTCTATCTTACATCTCTGCTTCTCAAGATGACTGGGTCTCTCTCCTCCCCTGAGCTGAATATGCCCATAACTCTCTCTCTTCCTCCACCACTGGGATGTCCCCCTTCTATTGCTCTCTAGGATACCAACCCTCTCTCCTCCCTGACTCTATCCCTGATTTGGATATTCCCTGCCTTCAGACGCGCCTCACTTTCCTCAGGAAATTTGGAGACAAGCCAGATCCGCCCTCCTGAAGACCTCCTTGCGGCAGAAGACCACTGCTAACCGTCATCGACAACCTGTGCCCAGATTACGACGAGGACAGTTTGTCTGGCTGTCTACTAGAAACTTACCCCTTAGACAGCCTTCACATAAGTTGGGACCCCGTT